ACCATACACTTTCTGGATATCAATAAGGATTAGCCTAACGCAGGTAGGTATAATAATATTAATTCAGTCTTATAAATTTCCATTAATCAATCTTGCACAAACATTAATTTTAAATCTCACAGTAATAAAACTACCATGTATTAAAAATAATTGACTAGATATCAACCTCAATAATATAATATTAAAACATTTTCAGTTAGCAAGGTTCTATCATTTGATGGCCTTCCTTTCCGTTATTTTTCTGTTAAATTTTTATATAAAATGTAAAATTTTTAATAAATACTTTATTTTCATGTTTATTATAATTTTAAAAAATTGATGATTTCCCTTTAACATAGATGATTGTAATGCAGAAAAAAAATTAAAACATAATATTGTTATCGGAGTTAATAGTTACTTTTTTAGATTCAAAATTAAACCATAAATGTATTACATTTTCAATAATTTTTATTTTATATCTGTCATCATCTTTTGGAGAGATACGAATGCAGAGGGTGATTTTTGGAAACACATCAGATCTTATTGTACTTTGAAAGAATTCCAACTTCCAAATACTTATCAAAATAGTCAAATACATGAATATTTTAGTAAAACGCGTTTTTCACAAAAACATGACAAACAGATCTTTTTTTATAAACACACGTTATTATAAAACCAAAACGGTCATCTCTTAGCTCAAAACATAAAATTAATATTAAATCTAGTTTTGTACATTTTATCATCGTCGTATTATTTAAATGTAGTATACCTATCATGCCATAATTATAGAGAGTGAACAGACAAAAGGATACAAAAACACAACAGGGATTCATGGATACAAAGTTTATAATTTTAATATTAAGGTTATAAAATATTATTATACTTAACATGCATATGTTTATAATCAAATTAATATATTTACTAGTTCTCATAAAGCGATCGAGTAGTAATTTTCTCAGTAAGTTTTTTTGAAATGTTTTAACCAATAATTTAAATTATTGCATTTTCTTTAGAAGGACCAATAAATAATTCTTTTTGTTCGATTGGTGAAATAGATCAAAATCACTAGCATATTATATACACTGCATTATAATAAATGATATTGATGTACAGTAGAATCTAGTTAATTAGTCCAATTGCAATCGGGCAAATTCTTCAATCACCAAAATAAATTTATAGAATTTAGTAATTAGTATAGATTTTCACCCCTTATCGGGGCCACGAAACGATAAATCGGGACATTTTTTACTGTATAGTCTATATAATATACATATATATCCCGGTACGTGCTTTGAAACTACATTCAACAATCTGTGAAAAGTAATGAAAAAAATATACTATTGAGTATGATAGCTAATAATATTAATATTATGATAGGTTTTTTTTTCCAAAATGGCAACATATTTTACCCTTAAATGGGCGCGGTGCTTTTAACAAATGTTTTTAACATGCAAGGCTGATCACAAATTAAAAATTAATTGAATTAATATTAACTAAGTTGAATAAAGCATTRGATTTTTCAAAATTTATTTTTAACTTGAGTTAATTTTTTAATTGTATACTAATATTTTATTAATATATTTTTTGCTTTATGAATTATGTATCATAATTTTAGAAACATTCAAGAATTTACAGAAAATGAATGGATATTGGTTTGTGGTTGATGATTATTTTYTATTAATATATATTATRGACATTACCRTATATCATATAATATTATATAAAATATTGRTACATWTTATATACAGCATAAGATAMGGCATAAAGAATTAAGAGCTAGGGCTGGAGTAGGTACAAATATGAATTAGTCACATAAAATAGGCCAAMAATTAGACAAAACTGCAGGWTTTGGGTCTAATGGATTTTAATTTTAAAAACTAATTGATAATTTCCGACTTCAGCATKACCTTATAAAAATGAATTGAGCACTTAAATATATAAAATACCAATATTCTTMTTTTTTAAATTGTCGATATTTTATTAAAAAATATGAATACATAAAAATCCCTTGGCCATTCCCAAACTAACAAAATGAGTAATTGATATCTATTTTCAAAATT